TTTTTTTTTTTTTTTTTTTTTTTTTGGTACTGGGGATCAAACTTGGGTCCTTGTGCTTGAGAGGCAGGCGCCAGAACCACTGAGCTAAATCCCGGGCCCTGGCGTAACTTTCTTTACTGTGAGACTTAGGACCCTTCGCAACCCGCCGTCTCCAGAGGGCCTGGGTTATGCCGGCGAGCCGCTGGCACGTGGCCATACCCTGGGCACCACTGAGCCCGCTGCGAACGCCGAGTCTTCATTCTGCGCAGTCCACGGCAGTTGTCCAGTGCGTCCCTCCTTCCTGGCACCTTTTCTGTCTGTCTTCTCAGATACGGATTTCCCCGGGTCTCGGCCCCTCTCTGGGGCCGGCCCTTTCCTGATTCTCTCTCGTTCCCCATTTGCAGTGGCCGTTGTTCGCTCCACGTGGCGTTTCCGTGGCCCAGAGCTTGCCCCAGCCCTCACCTGGCATCCCAGCCGCCCACTCTCTCCATCTGCTCTGGACATGGGGCTCAGCAGCATCTCAAGCCCTACATACCTAACACAACTCAGTCCGCCTGACCAGGGCCCCACACACTGCTCGGTCTCCTGATCTCAGCGAGTGACGACGCCACCGTCCGCCGAGTTGTGCAGACCAAGACCGTGCAGATCTCTTCCTTGCTTCTCTCTTCCCCACAGCTACTCTCTCCGCGGCTCCCGAACACACATTCCACACAGGGCGGTCCCTCACCGTCACCGCCCAGCGGGAGCCACGACGCCCCCACCTGGACCACCAGAAATCCCCCAGGACACCCCACTTCCCTATCTTGCTGATTCCCACGTCAACCTCCCACCCTCCGGTGCCATCCTTTAATCCATTCTGAAGTCGTCCCCAACTCCTGGGAGGCTGTGTACCTCCTAGACCCGCAGTCTCCAAGTTCTCTCTGGGCCACTCTCCTCTATTCACCCCTCCAGGCAGAGGACGGTGATACTGATCATGCCCAAGCAGGCTGTGAAGAGCGAGCCCCACAACTGGCTGTTTACAGAAGTGAGTCCGGCCGAAGCCTACGTGCCGAGGTCAGAGGAACTCGCACCTAGATTCCGTTCACAACGGCAACCTCCAGACTGAAGGACGGCGTTCTAATTACAACCGCATATTCTCTCCGTTCTGTTCCTGATTCAGGAAGGCTTTGTCTTGTCCTTTCTGAACACACTCATTTGCATAGAAACCACAAGTTGCCTTTACTGATTGCCAGTAAAAGTCAGCGCCTGGGACTGGCCAGCGCCTTCATAGGCTGTACCTGTACTGGTCCTCCTGGCCCCGCTTTCTCTCTTAGTTCTGCCTCTTAGTGCACTTATTTCTCAGGCCAGCGTCATACACTGGGCAGGCAGGGCCTGGAGCTTGACTGCAGGCGTAGTCCCCAGGAGAGGGCGAGGCAGGAAGGGGAAGTAAAAAAGGTCAATTGTGGTGTAAAATATACCAATACCCCGTGAGAATATAACCATTATGTATCACAAACATGTATTAATAAACCATTTTTAATTTTTTTAAAAATAGAGATAAAAATATTTAAAGATAAAAACTAAAATTCATTCCTCTACTCTGCCATGAACAAAGATAAACTTGAGTCATCTGTAGGAAAAGAGGTGCATCTTGAGACTATAATGTTAAATAAAGTGAATCAGATGCACAAGCCTAAGTATCGAGAGATTCTTTTATGAGAAACCCAAAATATAAATAAAGAGCAAAATGAAAGAACAAGAATAGGAGGTAGGGGACGGACCTTCCCCAAGTGGGAGGGGCCGAGACGGAGGGAGGGGAGGGAGGGGCGGGGATGGCGCGTGGTGTGCACAGCCCGCTCCTCACAGGGGATGGAACATTGTGACTGCGAACATGGACGAATAAAAGTAACTAACAACCACTGACCAACCAGGGAAGCCAGCCGGGCACTGACTTCTAAGTCCTGCGACAGACTGATGGACTTCAAGGACTGTAGTCTTAGAAGGGACCCGAGAGATCTGTAAGTTGATTTTTCTCAGTGTGTGTGTGTGTGTGTGTGCGCACACGCACACGTGCACACATTTTGCTAGAAACATTTTCTTTACATGGGAGGTTACTGAGGAGGCTGGCACACAGATCCATACGGCTCTGCAGAGAAGGAAGCCGGCCCTGCCCAGAAGCCTCTGACGTCCCTTCCTCCCTGACTGAAATTCCCTGATCTAATCCAAACCCTCAGATTACAAGAGAGAAAGCAGAAGCCAATTTCTTATCAAACACTATTAGTGTTATTGTTATCTGTGGGGCTGGGGATCAGACCCAGGGCCTCGTGCACGCGAGGTGAGCACTCCATCACTGAGATGCACCCTTAGCCCTTTCGACTTTGAGACCAGCTCTCACTAAATTTCCCAGGCTGGCCTCAAACTTTCTGTTTTCCTGCTTTAATCTTCTGAATACCTGCAATTACAGGTATGCACCCATTGTGCCTGGCTTCTTATTAGGGACTGTTACCGAAATTCCAAAATCCACCCAGGATTAGATGCTGCTTTTACATTACCGAAGCTACTAGTGACAGATCAGGGCCCCACTTTAGTCAGCACTGTGCTTGCTTATTTATTATTTATTTATTATTTTATTTATTTATTTATTGATTGATTGATTGATTGATTGGTACCAGGGATCAAACTCAGGACCTTACACTTGCAAAGCAGGCAGCGGAACCACTGAGTTAAATCCCAGGCCCTGCACTGTGCTTCTTCATGTTCCATGTGCCTGATGACAGCCCTGCAAAGCAGACATTCTAGTCTCCACCCTCCTCGCGATCACAAAAGTAGTACAGCAGCGTTACGGCTCATACCCCGACATCCCCCAGAGCCTCACTCACTCAGAGGCAGGGCTGTGGGGAGGTGGTCGGGATTGCGGTGTGTGATACTCACCCCTGAGTTGTCCACCGGAGTGTGATGGGAGGTGACGCCTGGTGGAGGAGGTGGTCACTGGGGTGTGGCCTGGCAGGCGCTAGCTCCTGCCCTCCCTCCTCCCTCGATCTCTCTGCTTCCTGCTGCCCTGCCATGGATTGTTTCTCCTCGCCTCTGCCACCCACCTTGGAGCCAGCCAACTCTGGACTGAAACCTCTACAACCTGCGAGCCAAAGTAAACCTCTTCCCTTTAAAATGTGAGCATCAGGTATTATGTCTCAGTGACAAGAGAGTGACTAAGACAGGCAGGAAATGAACCTGGGTCCATGTGACCCCAGAATATGTGCTCTTGAACCTTCACACCACACTGCATGTAATTCTCCCTTCAAATTGCCTTTCCCAAAGCACAAAACAGGTAAACATGCCAACAAGGACGAGGAGACAAGACGTCAAAATAGGGAAGCTGCTACATGAAATTCTCCAGTGTGAAAAAATAAACTTTCAGAGGCCGTGTATCAAAGACAATAAAATCTGGGGCTAAAGGCATGAGCCCCTGAAGCACAGGTAACGTGGAACGAATAACTTAAAAACAATCAATCAGTTGAAAACACACTAGGTGGGTTATACCTGCCCATCTCCTGAACTAAAAATCTTGCTGGGGATCATTCGTGCTCTTCCACAAAACGTTCCAGGCCCTATTCTCGAGAACCAGAACTTCAGACACAAAGACTTCTAACCTGACTCACTGTGACATTTCTCGTGTCCTTAGTTTTACTCTTCGAATTCCACTCGTATTAGCACAGGAAGTGCCAGGCAAACTCGTGGAATAAGCAAACACTCAATCACCCTGGTCTCTGTAGTCTGCACCCTTTCTTTCCCCTGGGGGAAACTTCTTCAGATCTCCAAGTGACCCAGGCCCCGAAAGGTTTCTCGCTTTCATTCCTATGAGTCTATGTTCGCAATGCAGAATGATTCCATTCATCGTGGGGAGCAGGTACATGTCCAGAACACATCTTCATTTTTCCCTACCTCCCACCTCTTGGGCGCCTCCCTTCTACAAAAGCTCTATCTTCTGAATTTCTCATTTTTAGGCTGTATTCTCCAAGAGTCTCACCCAATAACTAATCACAATGAAAAGTATCAGTAATGTTTTTGAGATGCTACCATTCAGTGATGACCGAACAGTCAAGATTATTAGTTTTAATATTTAGAGAAACAAAAACCTCCTTCAAGGATGTGGTCAGTGCTTGCAGAAATCCCTAGAAGTAATGTGTAATATTAGTACTGGCAAAGATAAAGAAGGAAAGGGAAACTGAGAAGGCCGTTCACAACTCTTCCAGAAAACAGCCGGAGCTGAACAGTAAGGTAAACAGATGAGAAGCAAAACACACGGAGCGTTTCGTATAAACCCGAGCTGGACGTGATGCTGGTAGAGTCACTTTAGCCACATCCTACGCACTCTTTAGGGGCCACTGCTGCCTTTGGCAGACTCACTCTGGCTCTGGCCCTCAGACTGTTCAGGGAGATGAGCGCCATGAACGACTGGGTGCTCTCTAAGAACACTGACATCCAGC